CCTAGGTATCATATTTTTTCTCCATGCTGTTATTAAATTGTATTGTAGTACAATGTTTAATTTTTGGTAGTTACTAGTATACAGAAATACAATAGATTTTTGTATATTGACCTTGTATCCTGCATCCTTGCTAAACTCATGTATTAGTTTTAGTAAAATTTTTGTGGATTCTTTAGGATTTTCTACGTAGACAATTATATCATCTGCAAATAAAGATAGTTTTATGTCTTCCCTTCTAATCTGTATGCCTTTTATTTATTTTGCTTGCCTTCTTGCACTGACTAGGACCAATGTTGAATGGAAGTGGTGAGAGTGGACATCCAGCCTCATTCCTGATCTAAAGGGGAAAGCATTCATTCTTTTCCCACGAAGCGCGATGTTACCTCTAAGGTAAGAGGACACCCTATTTAGGGCACAGATGTCTTTCATCAGGCTGAAGCAGTTCCCTATATTCCTAGTTTGCTGAATGCTGTTTATCAGGAATGGATGTCAAATGTTGTCAAATACTCTTTCTGCATCTATTGAGATGACATATGGTTTTTCTTTTTTAGTTTATTAATAATTTAATTTGTTAACCTTGATTTCCAAATGGAAAACTAACTGCATTCCTGTGATAAAATCCACTTGGTAGTGATGTATTGCCCCCTTTTTATATACATATATTGTCGGATTCGACTTGCCAAATGGTTGTTAAGAATTTTTATGTCTATATTCATAAGAGATACTGGTTTATAGGTTTCTTTTCTTGTAAATGTCTTTCTCTGGTTTTGGTATCAGGATAATGCTGGCGTCACAGAATGAATTGGGAAGTGTTACCTCGTTTTCAATTTTCTGGAAGATCTTGTGTGGAATTGTTATTATTTCTTGTGTAAATATTTGGCAGTGAAACCATCTGGGCCTGGAGTTTTCTCCGTGGGAAGGTTTTAAAACACAAATCCAATTTTTAAAATAGATTCAGGGCTATAATAAGGTTATCTGTTTCTTCTAGAGTGAGCTTTGATAGTTTATATCCTTTAAGAAATTCGTTAGTTTCATTTAATTGGTCAAATTTATTGGTAAAATATTGCTCATATCATCCCTTATTATCATTTCAATGTCTGTAGGATTTGTAGTGATGCTGCTCCTCTCATTTCCAGTGTTGGTAACGAGTGTCTTCTCTCTTTTTCCTGATCATTATGGCTACAGTTTATAAATTATATTGATATTCTCAAAGAATCAGCTTTGGGTTTCATTGATTTTCTTTATTTTTCTATTTCTATGATTTCTCCTCTTTGTTATTTCCTTTTTTCTGCTTACTATGCTTTAATTAACTCTCCTCTTTCTACTTTCTAAGCGGAAGCTGAGCCTTTCCTCTTTTCTAATGTCAGCATTTCTGATGTAAATTCTCCTCTAATCACTACTTTAGTTTCATCCCACAAATTTTGATATGCCATTTTTTCATTTTCACTCAGTTCAAAATATTTTCTAATTTCCTTTGAGATTTCCTTTGATATTTGATCCATAGATTATTTAGAAGTGTGTTGTGTAGTTTGAAGAGGTTTCCTAGATATCTTTCTATAACTGATTTATAATTGAATTTCATGATGATTTAAGAACATTCTTTGTAAGATTTGAATCCTTTAAAGTTTACTGTGGCGAGAGAGGAGGCTGGGGGCCCACGAAGGCCAAGCCAGGCAGGGCCCTGTGGTGGGGGCTGCAGGGAGAAAAGGGTGATCGCCGGCATGAGCCACTCGAGGGTTTTGATCAGAGAGGGGGTTTGGTTTGAACTGTGTTTCTTAGTAAGCACTGTGGCTGTTGTGTGGAGGACAGTGCAGATATCAGGGACCTGTTTAGGGACCAGCTATGATAGTGGTAGGAACCGGGGTGGCCACCAGAGCAAAGGAGAGGTAAACGGATTTGGGGGCTGTGAGGACGTGGTGTGCACCGGGTAGGAGAAGGTGGGATGAGACACCTGGAATGGGACCGCAGGGCTTGGAGGTTCCCTGAGTGGGATGTCTGAGAAGGCTGTGGGGTAACTCTGGTGGCGCTAAGATATCAGGGACATGGGGGTGTTGAGAGGAGGGGTAGGAGCCTAACGTGCCAGAAAGAGGCCGGCCCTGGGTGTCGGGGCCTGGGCTCAGCCGTGTGACTGCAGGCGTGTCGGTCCAGCTCTCTGGGTGTTAGCTTCCTCCCGTCGAGAAGAGCTCGGCCTCGTAGATGTCGA